CTGTTCTGCCAAGCCTCTTCTCGGATTAAGGGTCTGGTATGGAATTTTAAGGGGGACCCCACTTTTTTTAACAGTTTTTTGGGGCCATGGGGCCACCCTTAAAATACCTACCAGACCTAAAGGATCTGGTATGACTTGTAGGGGAACCCCACTCTTTTTTTATTTTTTACATCAGGGGTCCCCCCTAACATTCCAGACCTAAAGGGTCTGGTATGAATTGGGAAGGGGTCCACATGCTGTGTTGTCTTTTTTTAGTTGTTTATATTGTCATATTTCATTCTGCTTCACTACCTCTGAGGTAGCCAAGCAGAATGACCGAATAGAATGCTGAGCCTAGCGTTACGGCAATTCACTCTCTACTATTTGGCCCTTTGGAGATAAAGGGAATGAACTGCCGAACATTGGCCTCAGCTGATTCAAATGTTTCATCGGCTGAGGTGAACAGGCTCCTACCTTCGGTTCGGCCGAACGCGCTGAGGCTGTCTGGTTGAGCTGAAGGGAGGAGAAGCGAGCCAAATGTAGCCGATATAGGGCTCAAAATAGCAGTACAAGGCTGCAGTGAATAGCCGAACATGCTTCAGCTCACTTTGGCTTGGTTATTCATTCGGCTGTCTTCAACAGCTTAGTGAATAAACCCCTAATGCTATATTTGTCAAGGTCTAATTTCTGGCAAATCATTACTTAAAATATAGAGCCTAGACTGAAATGTAATGCACGTGCATACATTGATCTATTGTGATCTCCAGTAGAGAGATAGATACTGTAGATAGATAGATAGATAGATAGATAGATAGATAGATAGATAGATAGATGTGACATTGCTTTCCTGTGGTGAAAGATACTCATGTTTAATGCTTCGTACCTTGGGCCTTTGACTGCCACCTTTATTTTCACATTCTCTCTCTGAACCATTTATGAAAAAAAGAATTATAGTGGGCCTCCCTGTTGGGGAGGGAAGGTAAAGTGAGGCTAGTTATAGTGGAAAGAATAAAGTAATAATACTGTGGAAGGGGAGGGGTTAAAGTACCATTGCTGAGGTGTTTTTAAAGTGATGTTGCCTATGGGGAAGGGAAGGGGATAAAGATTCTGGTGATAATGTGAAACTGTTGGCAGTAACAGAGTTAGGCAACTGGAAGTGTGTAAGGCTGCTGGCGGCTGAATGATGGTGCTGGCACTACTGAGGTAATAAAAATACAATAATGCAGGTCATTATAATATGCTTCTACTAGGTGGTATTATATACTATTGCTATAGAATATTCTATTGTTGCTGGGCAATATAATAAGCTCTTGCTACTTGATGTAAGATCCTGCTTAATAATATTCTGCTAATGAGATATGTAATATACATTTGCTGCATGATATATTATACTGCTGCTGAATGATATAACCTTAAACTATTGCCTGATATGGCTTTTGCTGCTGCTAGGTGATTTTATTTGATGCACTTAAATAAAATGTTTTGCTATTGCCGGTTAATATCATTGTTTAGTTAATAGTATAATTAAATTGGATGCAGATAGATAGATAGATAGATAGATAGATAGATAGATAGATAGATAGATAGATAGATAGATAGAAAACATGACAGGGCCATTACATAAAGATGACTGACCTATTCAAGTAAAATGAGAAGACATTCTTTTCCATTAGTTTCTGTTTCATCATATTGTCAAAAAAGGGAAGGACTCCATCTACAGATATACTAGGATACCCCAGTCCAAGAATACCATCAAATCGGGCAGCAAGAAACACAATCCCAGGCTGCTTCACTGCCTCTGCGAACGTTTGGTTCTGGATACGCAGATTACCCACCTGTAGGAAGACAATGTTAAGATGTGACACTGACAACAGAAAGCTAGACAATGAGCATAAGCGTAAAGGTGTAGTCACTGACAGCTATATTTTAGAATTTAGAACCATCAGCAGAATTGTTTCACATATTACAGGGTTCTATAGGCGTAACCCTTTGGATTTGAAGGTGAACTCAAAACCAGATTTTCATTTGCTTGTAGGCAAACAACTTTTGGTGCCTTTAGTAAGACTCCTCTGATAGGTCAGTTTATTTTACACAGAACTATTCCTTTTTTTCCAGACCCTGACTTAGCTTAGAATATTGTGATAATGTTTAATAAAAAATGTAACAACATTAATTACAGCAATAATTATGCTTGGAAAAGCCACCTACTTACCTCAGCCAACTAAAGGAAGGAGGTGAAGTGAACATTACAGTTTAGGTGAACTAAAGAGCCATATTCTTTTCAATACCAGTTTAGTCTGCAACAGTCATATGGGTCTATTTATACATTTGACTTATAAAGAAAAAATAACAAGAATGTTTGTTTTGTGCATCCATTCCCACCTAATGAACATTCACATAGGGGGTCTATTCACTAAGCTGCCGTAGGCAGCCGAGTGAATGACCGACCTGAATCGAAGTGAGCCGAACGCTGTTCGGCTATTCACTTCAGGCTGGTACGACTGATTTCAGGCTGGCTTCGGTTCGGCCAAACATGCTCAGAATGTTCGGCCGACCCGAAGTACAGAAGGAGTTCGACTCAGCCGATACAACATCTGGATCGGCTAAGCCAAACCTAGGGCAGGCTACTCGCTGCTGTTCGGTCTATTCTTATAGATGCCGAACAGCAGTGAGCGAATAGCCGAATGCCGCTGAGCCGAATGCCGCTGGTCCTCTGTGGGACCGAGCAGAACAGAAAAATTGTTAAAAAATTAGAAAAATAGAAAACGATTGTGCGGAGCTAGCAGTGACAGCTAGCTCCGCCCAACAGTTTTCTATTGGCCGGCGATTCTGCTGCCGTCAAAAAAAATAAAAATAAATACATTTGGCCATAGGAATGCATTGCTAGATTCCTATTGGCTATTTCAATTTGCAATAGCCAATAGCAAACTGGCTATTGTACCCGCCCTCTGCTGTTGTCAATCACTAGTGGGGACCTGATGTAGAACTGCAGCAGAGGGCGGGTACAATAGCTAGTTTGCTATTGGCTATTGCAAATTGAAATAGCCAATAGGAATCTAGCAATGCATTCCTATGGTGAAAATGTTTTTTTTTCTATTGTGACACGGCTCCGTGTCAGAATTAAAAAAAGAAAAAGCAGTGTTTCTCTCCTTGGCGGCCGGGAGCGGGAGACTCCCAGAGCGCCCGGGAGAGTTAGGCTGTCTGGAGATCAGTGTCCCTGGTTAGCTGGTAACCAGGGACGCTGATCTCTCTGCAAGTGGCCGGAGCCAACCGTAACATCACGCCCAGCTGTCAGAAGCAGGCTGTTGGCCGGCCAATGGCCGGCCGCTTGGCCAGCTTCGGCTTACAGCGTGGCTCAGCTGAGCCGCTCGGCCACGTTCGGGAGCTGTACGGGCTACAGTGAATAGCCCGTATAGCAGCCCTTCGGTTTTACTGAACCGAAGGGGTCCTGGGGCCGAAGCTAGCCGAAGGATCGGCCGAAGCTACAGCTATATCCTTTGGCTGCTTCATGAATAGATCCCATAGATTTGCAGGGCCAATGGTTCTGCAAATTGTTTATAGCCCCATAGTGTCATGAAAGACTTTGATCTATGAGATGTTATTAGCAACATGATGAATTCTATAGTCAAAGAGGATTAGGCCTTGCAGGAGGGAAATAAGCAAGATGAACGGTGCTAGGTTGAGGAAAGTTAGTCCATAAGGGTCTACCCTCTCCATTTGTGGACCTAAGTTCTTATGTGTTATAAACAATTCCTAAGGCCAAATTCACACTGTGTTGTATTAATGCACGTATATATAGCACTCTTCCTTTAAAGGTGGTATTGAATGACCTCCAAAGTAGTGTGGCTGGCTAACCTTTAACTCTAAGGCTTGGACCCTTGGCATATGATCAGCTAAACACTGGGGATCAGTCACTTTAGTCAAATAAATGCAATGACTCTATGATGGAAGTAACGGTTTAGATGTATGAACCGGAAAAAGCAGTCAGGGCCGTCCTTTGATTGAGGCACCCTGGTGGCATCTCTTTGGGTCATGTGGGGGGCAGCAGGCAGAGAGGCACAATGTGTGCAGTATGGCTGCCATCCCCTTTCTGGCCAGAGCATCCCAAGTTTCTAAAAGCGAGGTGAGGTGATGTATAAGGGCCATATATATCTCCCCGCTCAGTGATGTCTCTGGTTGCCAGGAGCTGGGTGGGACGCTGAGCTGGGCGGGGAGGGTGGCATCACTCACCACCAACACCACAAATCCCCACACCCACCCCTTCCGCCACCTCAGGAGGCAAAAATGATAGGGCCGACACTGAGAGCAGTCACGTTTGTCTCTTAAACTGCAATAAAGCATTCTCTTCCTGCATTCAGTTAGGGCCTTGACTCTTTGATAGAAGCCACAAGTACCTTGATTTGTGAGCAGTGAATTCTTCTACCCAGATAGACACTCTTCAGTAAAGAAGATTCTTCAAAGATGCTCCCACCTGGCAACCATTTTCCTTCAAAGCTCTCTGTGGATATAACCTTCAGCAGGGCAGCTGAAATTTCTGTTGGGTTTTATTTGCTGTCTCTATCCCCATTAAGGAGATTTACCCTCTCTATATGTCCTGGTGATGGTTATAAATGAAAGTAAGTTGAAAGTAAATCCCAAATTTTGGGTTGTCACCAGAACAGAAATAGAAAATATAATTTCTATAGTAAATCTTCCAATAGAGACACTAGTTCTGGTTACCCTGCTGATTACCAGGGATTTCCCTAATTTCACAGTGATTTCCTCTCACTTCCTGTTGTGACTAAGGGCTCAGTCACACTAGATGCAGTGCGTTCTGGCCAGATTTTGGCCAGAACGCACTGCCTCGCATTGCGGCCGGCTCACTTTTTAGGCAGGCAGGAGGGGGCGTGACGGCCATTCAACGTGAATGGCCGTAGCCACGCCCTTCGGCCGCAATACGATCCGATCCTGTGCGGTGCAATCAAAATGCTGCAAGCACTATTTTGATCGCACCGCACAGGACCGGACCGCAGGCGCAATGTGCCTTGCGATCCCGTGCGGTGGCTCGCATTGCGGGCGGAGGGCTTGGTTACGGCGCCATTCACTTGAATGGCCCGTCACGCCCCCTCCTGCCCCACTAAAATGTGAGGCAGTGCGTTCTGCCCAAAATCAGGCCAGAACGCACTGCATCTAGTGTGACTGAGCCCTAAGGAAGAGGAAGTTAAAGAAAAGCTCCCCAATGGAAGACAGATGGCAAACAAAAAACTGAAAGGGTTTATAACCCTTCCTTATTACTCTACACAAAATGAAATAAAAGTTTGGGCTTTAGGTCCACTTTAAAGCATAGTTCCTCTTTTGCAGTCAAATTTGAGAAAACCCCTCTACGTGTTTGTTATGTGTTCCGATTCACACAGCATAGCTAAAGATAAATATTAAAAATATATTTCTTACCTTTTAGCTGTTTCTTTGATTGAGGCTTTGTGCAGATTCCAGGCTACTCTGAGCAGTTTGAGAGTGAAACTAGAGGATCAAACTGAGGGACAGACTGAGCTTCCTCTCATTAACATATATTGCCTCAAAGGCTTTAACCCTTTGTTAGGGCAGACAGTGTTCAAATCTAGTTTACAACTGATTATGACATATGCCAGCACAGTAGAGACAGGATTAAATAGAGTAAACAATACTTTGTACAACCCCCTCCTTAAAGTTAAATAGGGTGGGGGGCTTTAACCAAGAATAAAGCACTTAAAAAATTTAAGCAGCAATTTTTAATTTTTGTTTTGCTATGTGAATGGAAACATAAAAAACATAAAATAGGCGTTTTTCCAATTTGGCTGCAATAGTGGAAATATAAGCACAGGCACCCAGCTGGAACAAGGAAACAAAAGAACACTCTAGAAGGTTGCTGCAAACATTTATTACCTTACCACTCATACCACTGAGCAAAACCCTCATGGATTAGCTGAGGCGGATATATAATCATAATATTGTTTTATTTTATTGTATGTTTTATTTTATTGCATTAGATATTGTTACTTTTCACACAGGCAGAAGTAATTAGTGCAGTCAGCTTAGGAAAATCCTACAGAGCCTAAAACAGTAAGCAATGTTTAGGCTGACTACAACCTAACTGTAAAAAACATGCACAGAGTTTAACTAGGGACACTTCAGCTTAAAGCATACCTTTACACTCAAAAATCTAATTCTACCAATGCATCCCTCTATGGACAGTGGTGTAACAATCACAATAGCGACCCAGGCGGCCGCTATGGGGCCCGGGGCACAGGGGGGCCTGGCCAGATGCCGTGCGGGCCGCTTGGGTCGCTATGGCATCTTATGCTGGTGGCTTTCACTGGCGGCTGTGAGAAGAATGTGCTGCTGTTCAGATCACTGACAGTGATATGTGCAGCAGCGTGTTCTTCTCACAGCCGCTGCGGAGTTAATGAGAGCCAGCAGCGGCGGTGGAGCAGACTGGACCCAGCCGGCAGTGGAGAAGGAGGCGGGGCCGGTGGTCGGCAGCAGAGGAGGAGGCGGGGCCCTGTGACAGAGAAGGAGGCGGGCCTGGCGACAGAGGAGGAGGCGGGGCCCATCATAACTAGAAATCACAGGGCCCCATACTAAATTTTGCTATGGGGCCCTGCGATTTCTTTGTAGTTACGCCCCTGTCTGTGTATGATGATTAATAATAACATAGACATGTCAGGTGTAAAATGCTGTGCGTTTGAAATACTTACACTTGCAGAACATTCACTTCCTGCTTTGAAAAACCAAAATAACTAGAATTATGTGTTTGGAGATTGTTATTACTAAACATTTCTAAAGGTGTGTTTGTTGTTATTTTTAAGATATGGGTAAA